CCTTGGAGAGAACAATCATGGGAGAAAGAAGGGCTGCTAATGCACAGGGAGACAGCTCAGGGGGCAGGAGTACATGGAGGGATGGACACTGGGAAGGGGTAACTATGGGGAGGAAGTGAGAGGGGAGCTGTTGCATTGTGGTAAACTGTGGTCAATGTCATGAGACAAAGTGTCTGTGAACCGCTGTATGGAAAGTGTATCTGCTCTGTAAATCTTCACCCAAATCACAATAAAAAAAATTAATAAAAATGAGTTGCACAAAACAAGAAAAGAAAGAAAGAGGTCTTTTGCAGCAGATTTCCCCAATGCAGTACATCATCTGATGTCCTGACTGCCACTTCTATTGGTGTTGATTGTAGAACCAAGTAATAGGAAATCCTTGACAACTTCAATCTTTTCTCCATTTATTGTGTGAAGCTGTTTCTTGGGCCAGTTATGAGAATTTTTGCTTTCTTTATATTGAGGTGTAATGCATACTGCAGACTGTAGTCTTCAGTCTTCATCAGTAAGTGCTTCAAGTCATCCTCATTTTTAGCACACAAAGTTGTGTCATCTGCATATTGCAGGTTGTTAATGAGTTTTCCTCCAATCCTGATGCCACATTCTTCTTCACATAATCTAGCTTCTCAGGTTATTTGCTCAGCATACAAGTTGAATAAGTATGGTGAAAAGATACAACCTTGATGCACTCCCTTGTTCATTTTGAACCATGAAGTATCCCCTTGTTCTGCTCAAATGACATCCTCCTGATCTATGTCCAGGTTTCTAATGAGTACAATCAACTCTTCTGGAATTCCCGTTCTTCTCAATGTTATCCGTAATTTCTTATGATCCACACAATAGAACGCTTTTGGATAGTCAATAAAACTTAAGTAAACATCTTTCTGGTATTCTTTGCTTTCAGCCAAGATCCATCTGACATCACCAATGATATCCCTTGTTCCATGTCCTCTTCTGAATCCAGCTTGCATTTCTGGGAGCTCTCTGTCAGTATACTGCTACAACCATTTTTTAATTATCTTCACTAAGATTTTATTTGCATGTGATATTGTTGGATCGTTTCCACATTCTGTGGGATTACCTTTTTTTGCAATGGGTACAAATATGGATCTTTTCCAGTCAGGTGGCCACGTAGCTGTCTTCCAAATCTCTTGGCATAGCCAAGTGAGTGCCTCCAGCGCAGCATCTATTTGTTGAAACATCTCAATGGGTATTGTCAGTTCCTGTACTCTTGTTCTTTGCCAATTCCTTCAGTGAAGCTTCAACTTCTTCCTTCAGTACCTTTGCTTCTTGATCATATGCCACCTCCTGATATGGATGAACATCAACCAATTCTTTTAGCTACAATGACTGTGTGTATTCCTTCCATCTTCTTTTGATGTTTCCTGCATCATTCAATATTTCACCCATAGAATCTTTCAATATTGTAACTCAAGGCTTAAATTTTTCCTAAGTTCTTTCAGCTTGAGAAATACCAAGTGTGTTCTTCTGTTTTGCTTTTCTAACTCCAGGTCTTCACACATTTCATTATAGTAATTGGCTTTGTCTTCTCGAGCTACTTTTTTAAATCTTCTGTTCAGCTTTTTTATCTTGTCATTTCTTCCATTTGCTTTAGCTACTCTCTACTCAAGGGCAAGTTTCAGAGTCTCTTCTGACATCCACTTTGGTCTTTTCTGCCTTTCTTGTCTTTTTGATGACCTCTTGGTTTTTTCATGGATGATGTTCTTGATGTCATCATACAGTTCCTTTGGTTTTCAGTCATTTGTGTTCAGTGCATCAAATCTGTTCTTTAAATGGCCTCCAAATTCAAGAGGGATATTATCAAGGTCATAGTTTGGGTCTTGTGGACTTGTTTTAATTGTCTTCAACTTCAACTTGAACATGCAAATGAGCAGTTGATGGTCTGTTCCACAATCAGATACTGGCCTTGTTTTGGCTGAAGATACTGAGCTTCTCCAACACCTCTTGTCACAGATGTAGTCAATCTGATTCCTGTGTATTCCATCTGGTGAAGTCTACATGTGTAGCCTTCACTTACATTGTTGAAAAAAGGTGTTTGCAATGATAAGTCATTGGTCTTGCAAAATTCTGTCATGCGATCTCCAGTGTTGTTTCTATCACCAAGTCCATATTTTCCAACTGCTGGTAACTCTTCTTTGTTTCCAGTTTTTGCATTCCAGTCACCAGTGATAATCAATACATCATGATTGCATATTCAATCAGACTGCAGAAGTTGGTGGAAATCTTCAATTTCCTCATCTTTGATTTTGGTGATTGGTGCATAGATTTGAATAATAGTAGTATTAACTGGTCTTCCTTGTAGGTGTATGGATATTATCCTATCACTGACAGTGTTGTACTTCAGTAGAGATCTTGAAACAGTCTTTGTGACGATGAACGCCACACCATTCCTCTTCAATTTGTCAGTCCTGGCATAGTAAGTAGATCATATGGTTGTCTGATTCAAAATGGCCAAAATCAGTCCATTTCAGCTCACTAATGCCTAGGATATCAATCTTTATGCATTCAATTTCATTTTTGATGACTTCCAATTTTCCTAGATTCATACTTCATACATTCCATGTCCCAATTATTAATCGATGTTTGCATCTGTTTCTTCTCATTTTGAATAGTGCCACATCAGCCAATGGAGATCCTGAAAGGCTTCCTCTATCCGTATCATTAAGGTCATCTCTACTCTTGAGGAATCAGCTCTTCCCAGTCAAATTTTGAGTGCCTTCCGACCTGATGGGCTCATCTTCCAGGACTATATCGGACAGTGTTTCAGGGCTATTTATAAAGTTTTCCAGTACCATATCAGACAATGTTTCACTGCTATTCATAAGGTTTTCACTGGCCATTTGTTTGAGAAATGGATAGCCTCTTCCTTCTAAGTCTGTCTTAGCCCGGAAGCTCTACTGAAACCTGTCCACCATGGGTAACCCTGCTAGCATTTTGCAACACTTGTGGCATAGCCTCCAGCCTCACACCAACACATAAACCACCGCAGGCAACAAACTGACAGATAAGTTCATTTCCCTTAGTTGTTCCTAACCCCTATCACCCGCCTACCTTGGGCCCCAGCCTTAAAATAGAGCCACTCTGAAAGCAAAAATCAGCCCCCAAGTCCCATGCCCGTCTACCTCGGGCTCCAGCCTTAAAGTAGAGCCTCCCCCATGCTAAAAGCAGCCCCCAAGCCTTGGGCCCTGTGTTTAAAATAGAGCCACCTCCAAGCAAAAAGCAGCTCCCAAGCCTGGCACCCACCTACCTTGGGCCCTGGCCTTAAAAAAGCACAATTTTAAATGGAATAATTATTGTGTTTGAAAGTTTGCTGCTTCTAGTTAATTTAGTTTGGAATAGTGAGTGTATGATTTGTATACACAGATCACAAGGGAATGGTGCCAAAAAATGGTGGAGGGATTGGCCTTAAAGAACTTTTTTTCTGAATCAGTTTCAAATTTACATTTATTGATATGAGGATGGGATGGAAAAATGCCTGGAAAAACCTCTCTTTTTTTCTTAAGAAGCATCAAGAAAGAAAATCTTTGGACAGAGAAGGCCATTGGTTAGGGGCAAGGCACTTAAGGGACATGATAAAGATTTGCAGTAACTGCTAATAAGAAATGGAGATATGATCAAACCAAAAATCAAACTCACTGGCATCAAGTCAATTCTAACTCACAGCGAACCCTCCTTGGGTTTCCGAGGCAATATCACTACAGAAGTAGATTGCCCAGTCTTCCTTCAGAGGAGTGGCTGGTGGGTTTGAACTGCCAGCCTTTTGGTTAGCAGTCAAATGCCTTAGGCACTACACCACCAGAGATGTCACAAAATGCTCAGCAAAAGTTGTGAAGTAAATGAAGAATAGCTGTTCATGAATTTCCTTTTAAAGCATTTAACAACTTGATCAGACTTGTCAAAATTTTATTTCCCAGTCATGTCTTTGAACAAGTACGTGACATACATGATACTACTGCCCTAATGCACAATGTAGACTACTTCAGTAAGCATAGTCTTCCTTTTCTGGGGACTTCTCCCAAAAGTGTTATTTTATTTGCCATCGTTTTGAATTTTTCTTTCCTCTCCTTTCCTTCTCCTCTCCTCTTCTCTTCTTATCCCAGCCTGATTTTACATCTGAGACCAACAATTATTCTTTTTTTTTCTTTTCAGAAATAGAATCCTTATTTAAAGAATAAAATGGATCATTTGCTTTGTCATTCAGATAACAGTTGTCAAATATTACTCTTTACTGTTAGCCAAAGAAAACATAAAAATTATGAGTCATGAACTTGAAATTTATATTCTTTTATTAAAAAAAAAAAAAAAACTGCCATCAAGTTGATTTTGACTCATAGCAACCCTATAGGACAGAGTAGAACTGCCCTATATGGTTTCCAAGGCTGTAAATCTTTATGGAATCAGACTTATTTCTCCTGCAGAATGGCTGGTGGGTTTGAACAACCAAACTTCTGATTAACAGCCAAATGCTTTGACCACTGTACCACCAGAGTTCCTTTCTTTTATAAAAATGTGCAAAAATATTATCACACAACCTAATAAATAGGCCAAGTACCTGTAGCATCAAAAATATCTAAGAATAATTTTTACATTCATGTATTTATGAACTATTAATGACTTCCTAGTATGTGCCATTATACTAAGTTCTGTATTCATTAATAGACAAAGCATATACTGCATACACATACACATTTGGAGCTTATGTTCTATTTTATGTATATACAAATATAGTGACTTCCAAGGCAAGACTTACATGAGGTGAAATAATTTTGTTTCTTATTGTATAAAAATGTGTTTAAGCTTAGCTTTTCTTCTATGTTTGCATCGTGTTTTTCTTTAAAGACCTCAAAAGGTTTAACTTCTTTTTTAAAAATGGAAATTTTTTCTTTCACTTTCATTTTCCTTTTAGGATACTCCTGAGCATTTGCACATGATGGCTAAAAATAATCTCTTGCTTCATTTGAAAAAATTAGAAAGAGAAGGAAAAATATGTAAGTATACTTGAAAATTTTCATTCTTTTATTTTCATCATCTAAGCTGTCTTTTAAAATATACTAAAAAAATACTCATCAACGTTTTTTGCTGAATAACACTTGCCCTATAAGTAAGAAAGGTAGTAAATTCAATGATAGTAAAGTAGTAATTCTATAATTGCTTACTAATGTTAGATTAATTTGTCAAATTAATAATCTTTATGTGTGTTTAATCTTTAAAATCAAGGCGTTAAAGGCATGAATCTGTGTAGAAACCTTACCAGCATCTTTACATGTATAAACAATTATTTAAAAAGTCAACTTTATGTAGAACAACAAAATTATTTAGGAATGAATACTTTTTCTAACCACAAAATAACTTAAAATCCAGTGTATTTTTTTTATTTGTGTTAATATTTTACTGTAATTTTTTTTCTTTCCACAGTTAGCAACACAGATCCTGAAAAGAAATGGAAAGCTCATCTTTAGTTTCAAATTAATAAAAACTTTGTTTTGTTTTTTTTAATAGAATGGTATGTTTTCTTAGCTTTAATTTTTTCTTATGAGAAGGTATTTTTCTTAATTATAGATAATTTATAAAGAAAATAGAGTAGAAAGCATAACCCTAGATAGTCCTTAAAATAATGTTTATTCTGAATATGTGAATTACGTTATACATCTATAGAAGTTATTTGTGTAAACTTGGTCCTAAAAGATTTTACTAAAAATTCAGAATCTAATAGTTTTTCAATTTTCAATAGATTAACTAAAATGGTTGCTTTAATAATAATAAATATGTACAATTTAAACGGTATTTTTCTTGGAAATTTGGTATCTGTTACCAGTGATTAGTAGTTCTGTTCTGTTTGGCTGCTTCAATTAACAGCACAGATTTCTATGTAATCCTTCCTTTTCCTCGACCTTTGTCTGTATCTATAAATATCAGCTCTGTTTTCATGTTTCTACCAGTTACATTCATGATTCAGTATTAGTTCTATAACTCTGTATAATGTATATTTCCTTATAACAGTATCCCACAAGTGATTCATATGAATCAACATTTAATAATTGAGAAATATATTAAATTCCCAATAAAAGACATTGTGATGAACAATTATTTTAGTAGTCCATCAGTATACCAACTTACTTTCCAATTTTACATTTTAGTAAATGGTAAAATTACATTTAGTAATGGTAAAACAGCATTTTTTTAACATAAGTTATGTTTTCAGTAGTGATTAGGTTTTTCGAGTAGCCCACCAATGTTTATTTAATCCGTAAGATTGCGAAACTGTAATACTAAAATAAGCTCAGAACCATGAGAGTGCACTTTCTTTAGTCTTCCCTAAAGGTGTAAGACTTAAATTTTTAAAAACGTTTTTTGATAGCCTCACTTCTTTCTCTTCTTTTCCCCAAGATCCCTAGCAATTTTATAACATTTTAAACTCTTGCCCTCATGCCCTGGAGTCCTGTTGTATTCTCTAAACTATTCTGTGTTACAAAATAACTGTAAATATCCTCCCCAACACCAACACCACAACCACCAAAAAAAACCGTCAGTAATCCCATTCCCTCAGTATGGTATGTATTAGGAAAATTCCACATTCCTATAATGAGATTTCTTTCTTTTTTCTTTCAACCTATTCCATGTCCAGAATTTATCATTACTTCTAACTCCACCAGTACTCTTCAGTCCAGGCCATCATCTTTTCTTGCATGGACTACTACAATAACCTTTAACTCTAGTCTCCCTGCTTCCTTTCTTGAAGGGAGTTAGGGGACAAGGATGAGGAAGGTATTCTGAACTGAGGAAATCTCATGCACAAAGCCATGGAGCCATTGTCTTTTTAAAGTACCATAGTACAATCACATTTCAGATACTGCAGGCTGCCAGTGTATTCGTTGGAAGATGGGTGGTTACTGAAAGAGGTTAGGTAAGTGAGCTTTAACCAAAACAATGACATAAAGTGTATGTGTATCCTAGAGCATGACAACACTGAGGAGATAAAGGTACACAAAACAGCATTTCAAAAGGAGCTGAGAGACACAAAATTACAGTATGCAGTACCATTAAGTTTGTTTGGAGTTAAGGAAGAATATGTAACCTGGTTGAGATCTAGAGAGTTGCTGAGAAGAGTCTGTGCACAGTCTTAAAAGCTAAATGGTAGCCAGGAGAAGGCGCCAGGGGTGTGTGTTTGGGAGATGGGAGGAATTGTTCTATTAGAGAAAATAGTCTATATACATAAACAGAGGTAATAGTAGAGCATCACATGGTAGGGGGACTACAAGAAATGTTATATGATTTCAGCATATGGTATTTGTGGGTTGAGGTCATAGGGAGAACAAAAATCTCATGGGAACATAGAAATCTCATAGGAACAAATGCTTCACACAGGCTGGAATGTCTATAATTTAGGAATTAAACAGCAGATCATGTTTCAAGGCAGTTCTAGTATTATTTTGTTGTCTACTCAACAGCAAGAGTTTGTCCCCACCATTAGAGTGCTTTCATTCCTCTTTCTTTTCTATTATTCTAGCTGATTATATTATCCTCTATTCAATACCCAGTGGTTTTGATTATTTATAGCTTCTGCTTACTCATTTTCTGACTCCTCATGGATTTCTACAGTGTCATTATCACCTCCACTTTCTCTGTATATCATCAGCCTCTGTTCTGCAGCCAACTAAGTAGCTCCCCTTGTATCTCAGGTTCAGAACTACTCATAGAAGAGGGTCCAACTGGTGTAATTAATTGTCATTATCCCTGTTTGAGAACACTTTCCTGCCATGTTGTCATATGTGTTACTGACCAGTCTTTATGGCGACTACTCTGGACTAATCATCAAGGACCAGAAAGATCACAGGAAACTTTATCAGAAGGGGAGTCTATACAGCAGAGGCAGTGGGCAGGGTAAGCTTGCTGAGATTTGGCCTTTTCAGTACAGTGAGTGAGAACAAAGGGTGGGGGAGAGAAGGAGTAACAGATAAGGAAATATTTAAGAGGTAAGAGGAATAGGAATAAGTCTCTAGACCTATTATATCTTCAGGGATAGGGATCAGCTAGAAAGAACTCCAAGAGCTTTAGATTTCTGGCTTGGGCAACTGAATAGATATTGACTTGATAACCAAGATGAGAGACTGCAAGAAATGGGACAGGTAGATAGGGAAGGGAGGAAAGATATATTGTAGATAAGAGTTTGAGGTACCAGTGGAATCTAGGAGGAGCTATCTAATAGACATTTAAATATATGGTACTAGAACAGAATAGATAGGATATATTTCATCACAGGTGACAGAAACTGGCAAAAGAGGAAGTTAGTTGGTGCATATAACTAACCTAAGAAGGATGGTGGAGGTGGGCTTTTGAACAAGAACACAAGGATTTGGATCCCATCAGTACAACCCTTAACCTCTCACCACTATTTCTTTCTGTATGTCAGAGACCCCCATAATAGACTGGCTTCTTCACATAGCAAGGGGTATAGCTTTGGACAGCTCTGGGCTCATATCCTAACCATTCCATAACCATCAGAGTAAGCTGGTTCTTCTGACTCCAGTGTGAAAAACTCCTACAGGAGTAACTCTGAGTGGTTAGCTCATTACCATTCCTTAAACCAGTTCTTATAACCAATGAAACATGAGGTACTGTGTTTGGGCCAGCTTTGGTCACCTGTGTATCCCTATGGCTAGAATGGGTGAGGTCTATTCCCAAAAGACGAGTGTCACAGGAAGATTCTGGACCAATGTTGATTCCTTACTGAATAGCTTTCCCCTTCCTCTGTTGTAACTCATAGAATGTTTGAGCCAGCTCTACAACCTTAACTTTTCCTGTGGGCTTAAAATTTTTTTGAGAAATTATTTGAGTATTGAGAGCTAGTAACAGGGAAACTAAAATGAGAAAAGATTTAAGTGCAAATGTTTTTTTAATTCTGCCAGTACTATCAATCAGTGTTGCTTCCCTTGCAGATTGCTCTGTGCTTACTAGAGCAACAGATCACAGTTGTGGATGTGTTTGGGGGTTTGAGGGCTTGGATAACTTAGAAAGGAAAATCAATCAAAATGACACTGGCTTTTTCAATGTAACAATGGCTACTAGAATATAATACCTTTAATAATCCAAGAAGGAAATTACTATATCCCAGAAATTTATAACCAACCAGCTAAGAATCATGTGTGAATATAAGGACTCAAAAACTGTACCTCTCTTAGGGAATTTCTTCATGTTGTGCTCCAGAAAAAACAAGAAAGAGGAAAGCATAAAATTAAAGTAGTAAATTTAACACCAAAATGTGAAAAGGAAGTTCTGGAACAAAAATGTGCCCAAAGGTGCCTCTCTGGTTTAAAGCAGGAGAAATTAGAGACTTTAGAAAGCAAAATAGAACTGATAGACTATCTGATAAATTTGAGCATTTTTTGCAGGGGGGCTGTCATATAACAACTTTAGTTAAGCAACTGAAACACAAAGCTCCTAAGAAACTATGCTGATAAAAAAGAAAAAATGAAGCAATTAGAGGGAAGGAGACAGAAAAGTGGTAACTAAGTTGAGGGAGTGGGAGGGGAGCTGTTGCATTGTGGTAAATTGTGGTCAATATGAGACAAAGTGTATGTGAACTGCTGTATGGAAAGTGAATTTGCTCTGTAAACTTTCACCCAAATCACAATAAAAAAAATAAATAAGCAATTAATGATTTTTTAAAAAAACTTATATAAAAAAGGAAATGTAATAATGTAAATACTGCCTAAAAACTATGTTTTAAATAAAATTGTAGTTGGTTGCAATGGAGTCAATCCTGACTCATAGTTACCCTGTATGTAATAGAACAAAATACTGCCCTGTCCCACACCATCCTCACAATCATTATAATTGAGCCCATTGTTGCAGCCACTGTGCTAATCCATCTCATTGAGGGACTTCCTCTTTTTCACTGGCCCTTTACCAAGCATGATGTCCTTCTCCATGGACTGTCCCCTTGTGATAACATGTCCACAACATGTGAGACAAAGTTTTGCCATCCTCCATCCTCGCTTCTAAGGAGCATGCTGGCTACTTCTTCCAAGAGAGATTTGTTCATTCCTCCAGCAATATATTCAGTATTCTCCAACATCATAATTCAAAGACATCAATTCTTCTGCCTGCCTTATTCCTTGCCTGACTTTCATATGCATATGAGGCAATTGAAAATAGCATGGCTTGGGAAGGAAGATGGTGTCATACCTATAGCCCACATGTTTGTTCCCTCTAGCATCTTAATTCCTCAAAAACAAGGTATAGCAGATAGAAACAGTGATACTAAAGTTGTGAATAGCTGAGGAAGAGAAAAGGTGCCAGATTTAGTAGTGGCTGAGAAACAGAGCAGATGAAGCAGCTGGGAAAAATAAATGAACCTGCCTAGCCCTAGCCAGCCAGGACACAGAGAAACAGAAACTTCATTAGCAATACAAAAGAGAGTGACAGAGAGAAGGAGAGGAGAAAAAAAAAAAAAAAAAACACCACAGAACCCACAAACACTTGGAGGACTCAGAATACCCACACCTGGAGTTTCTGATGGTAATCTTGGG